GCAGGGCTCTCAGTCCTGGAGTCTGCCCCCAAAGGAATAGGGTCAGTGTGTCAAGGTTTTTGGAAAGGAGGTAGGCAGGGTGGATCAGATGGGAACCCTTGTGTCCAGCATCTTTGAGTCCTTTCTCATCTGGGGTCGCTCTGAGGATGACAAGGTCAGGCATGCAGCCCAGGGTCCCAGCTGCACCCTTATATCCAGACCCCATGCAAATGGGGCTCTCCTCCTGCTCATAAAAGAGGGCCCTGCCCTGCATGCTGGGGAGACACACAGAACCCAAGTGCCTGAGACAGGACCCCAGCAGCTCCTCCATTGACTTGGTGCCAAGCTGCGTTTTCCTCCTGATCATTCTTCAAGGTCGTTCTCAGGAGTGGGGAGAGCTGAGACCTGTGCCTGTGCCTGTTGGTGCTTCCATGTGATTCTCAGTCCACCTTGTGTCTCTGTGTTTGCAGGTGTCCAGTGTGAGGAGCAGCTGGTGGAGTCTGGGGGAGGCCTGGTGCAGCCTGGGGGGTCTCTGAGACTCTCCTGTGCAGCCTCTGGATTCACCTTCAGTGAATATGAAATGAAGTGGGTCCACCAGGCTCCGGGGAAGGGGCTGGAGTGGGTGTCAGCCATTGATGGTGATGGTGGAGGTACATACTATGCCAACTCCGTGAAGGGCCACTTCACCATCTCCAGAGACAACGCCAAGGACACGCTGTACCTGCAAATGAACAGCCTGAGAGCCGAGGACACAGCTGTGTATTACTGTGCAGGAGACACAGTGAGGAGAAGTCAGTGTGAGCCCAGACACAAACCTCCCTGAGGAGACAGCAGAGCGGCGCTGCAGGGAGCGCTCAGGACACCAGGGGGAGCTCAGAACCAGCAAACTCAGGGTCCCAGCTCAGAGGCTGTCCCTGGAGGGATGTGCAGGCTTCCTATTGGGGTCAATGCTTTCTTCCCTCCTAGTGTCCCCGGGGCCCTTCCTGCTTCCTTCTTTGTGTCTTTAATTAGATTCTCTGCAAGAAAAAAGCAGGAAGTGGCTGTGTGTCCGATCTGGTGGACTTCTCATCTGTGCCCTTCCTGTCACCATGTCCCTGATGGTCAATCTCTGGGTTGTTAAGGAAAACATTGTAGGGATTCCTGTCCCTCACTGAGAGTGACGTCCCCCACCCTCCATGCAGTGCTGAGTGGGGAACACGGAATCCAGGCCCCAAACCTCACCTGAGGGTGATCAGCCCCTTGCTCTGCCCCAGGAGAAGCTCTTTGGGGGCAGTTAGCTACTTGCCTCTCACTGACATGGCTATGCATTGAGGTTTAGGGTCTGAACCTTGTGGGCACAGCCCCTCTGTGAGCCTGAGAAGCCCAGTGAGGGGCCCTGTCGCAGCCCTGCTGGGCATGTTCCCCATGGGTCTCAGAACTTGGTCCCAGGGGACGTGTCCCAACACCTATCCCGCTTCCCCTGGAGAACCATCTGCATCCTGAGAACCTGCTGAAGGGAGACATGATCCCACCCACCTCTGCTGTGCCTCCAGCTCCACAGACACCACCCCATCCTCACCCTCTGTCCTCTGCCGCCCACATTCTCACTCATGGGGCCTGCACAGGATGTCCCATGTGGATGTGTCTGCCTTCTCCTTCCCTCCTGGTAGGTTTTGCCTTAAATGCAGCCCCACGTCATTCCCTCATGCCCATTCATGTGCCAGGCCCTCCCAGAGACACCAAGACCAGGGCCACTCAGGCAACATGAAGTGACCTCACCCACCCTGCTGAGCCCAGGTGCAGTGACCACGTGTAACGTGCTGTGACCATGTGTAATGTCAGGCACCTGTGTCAGGTGGAGACACACTGAGCACTCAGGTCACAGCACCTGAAACAGCTCACACCTGTGCTGAGGGAAAGTCCGGGGCGGTGGAGGGGGACCGTTAACTGCAGAGCATCGTACTGGATAAGTATGTGGCCACTGGAATCAGAGGGCAGTCAGGGAAGCACTAAGGCCTGGTCACCTATGATGTTGCCAACGTCTCGCTGGCCAGAGCCCAGGTACACAGGGAGCTCTGTGAATCATAAAAATACAGGAGGAGCCCAACCAGCAAGGCTCACTGGTGGAGCATTGACCTAGGAACCAGGAGGTCAACATTAGATTCCCAGTCAGGGCACATGTCTGGGATGCTGGAAACATCCCCAGTGGGGGGCATGCAGGAGGCAGCCAACCAATAATTCTCTCTCATCATCAATGTTTCTATCTCTCTCTCCCTTCCTCTCTAAAATCAATAAAATGAATTTTAATAAATAAATAAATACATACATAAAAATGTTGCAGATTTGATTCTCAGTAGAGTCATATATGGGAGGCAACTTATCAATATTTCTCTCTCATATCAATGTTTCTCACTTTCCTTCTCTCTGTCATTCACCTCTATGAATGAATGAATATATCCTTGGTTGAGGATAAGGAAAACAATATCTATATCTATACTTCTATGTACATCTACATACACATCAACATCTTTATCTCTATATCTATCTCTACATCTACATCCATACCTATGAATCAATGAACATATTCTTAGGTGACTATAAAGAAAATAAGATCTATGTCAATCTCTATACCTATGTCTAAACCATCTATAATAATAAAAGCATAATATGCTAATCGGAATGGATGTCCATCCGGATGAAGCCGCAGAGGCGGCAGAGCCATGTGCTTGCACAGATTTTGTGCATCAGGCCTCCAGTATATCTATATCTATATATATCCATGGAAACAAAGCCTCATTGATTTTTGTCCCCAAAGGAGTCACTGACTGTTCACATATCCTACTTCCTGACCCTCTCCTGCAGCATAGCCCCTGGCGTGGAAGGAGAGGTCCCTGGGCATGGTGACCAGGACCCCAAGGAGGGCCTGGGTCTCTGAGGGCACAGTCAGCACCTCCTTCCAGGAGAAGCCCCAGAGACCAGGACCTCCCTCACTTCTTGCCCTTTCTATGTGCAGAACCCCCCATATGCAAATGCTCACATGGCTACCAGACACACACACAGTTGGCATCCACTTAAATTCAGGGCCTCCTCACCTTGAAGAATAATATCTGGGTACGAGAACCTCACCTGCAAGACATGAATACTTTGTGGCTCTTCCTCTTCCTGCTGTCAGCTCCCAGATGTGAGTGTGTCAGGCTTAGATGTGAGGAGATGGGGATTGTGCATCTGAGCCCAGGACTCACTGTGTTCTCTCTGTCCCAGGTGTCCTGTCCCAGGTGCAGCTGCAGGAGTCGGGCCCAGGACTGGTGACGCCCTCGCATACCCTCTCCCTCACCTGCTCTGTCTCTGGATTCTCCATCACAACCAGTGGTTACCTCCGGAACTGGATCCGCCAGACCCCGGGAAAGGGGCTAGAGTGGATAGGGCGCATATGGTATGATGGAGACACTAACTACAGTCCGTCGGTAGGAGCACTAACTACAGCCCCTCCCTCAAGAGCC